CTTCTTTGCATGTTCACTTTGTAAACACTGGGTCGGTATTCTGCAGCGATGTAGGATGATTTTGAAGTTGGAGGAGAAAATGAGATGGGAGTTTTTAGACATACCCTAACTGTCATGAACCGGAATACACAGTACAGTTCAGTTCAGGCAGAGCTAGACAAGACAAGCGTTTGAGGTTAAAAAGTATATAAATTTTACATTTCTTTAGAAAGTAACCGATCGTTTCGCTAGATAAGACCCTTCTTCCTCGGCTGGGATCGTTTAGAGACCTTTGAAGCTGCGTTTAAACAGCATTTTGGAAGTTCAAACCCGGAGGCACCATAGAAGTCCATTATATGGAGAGAAATCCTGAAACGTTTTCCTCAAAAAAACATAATTTCTTTACGACTGAAGAAAGAAAAACATGAACATCTTGGATGACAAGGGGGTGAGTACATTATCTGTAATTTTTTGTTCTGGAAGTGAACTATTCCTTTAACATTTGTAATGTTATGAATGTGGTGTACTGGTGTGAGCGTAGCTGTGATCTCTGTCCCGCAGGCAGCGAGAGCAGGAGCGTAAGGAGGCCGAGGAGGCCTCAGGGAAGGAGCTGGAGGACTGGGAGAGCTCTTTACTGTCTCTGGCCGAGCCGTGTTCACTGTGGAGTCTGTGGGAACTTCCTGCCATCGGTCACTTCCTGTGCCTGGCTCAGACGGCGCTCCACCTCCCGGAGATCGTCTTCTACGAGCTGGAGCGCTGTCTGCTGATGCCACGCTGCAGCGTATTCCTGGCGAAGGTCATGACGGCGCTCCTCTGCCCCCCGCAGAAGAGATCCGGCTTCCCCCGCCGCACGCCGCTGCTCTACAGACGGTGGGAGAGCGAGCTGCGCCGCCGCGTCCAGAGCTGGTACAGAGCGGTCGGCCGCGCCGAGGAGGCACGCCAGGTCAGGTCACACTCATTCATATAGTGCTTTTAACATATAGTGCTTATAACATACAGTGCTTTTAACATATAGTGCTTTTAACCTACAGCGCTTTTAACATATAGTGCTTTTAACATATAGTGCTTTTAACATACAGCGCTTTTAACATATAGTGCTTATAACATATAGCGCTTTTAACATATAGTGCTTATAACATATAGCGCTTTTAACATATAGTGCTTATAACATATAGCGCTTTTAACATATAGTGCTTATAACATATAGCGCTTTTAACATATAGTGCTTATAACATATAGCGCTTTTAACATATAGTGCTTATAACATATAGCGCTTTTAACATATAGTGCTTATAACATATAGCGCTTTTAACATATAGTGCTTATAACATATAGCGCTTTTAACATATAGTGCTTATAACATATAGCGCTTTTAACATATAGTGCTTATAACATATAGCGCTTTTAACATATAGTGCTTATAACATATAGCGCTTTTAACATATAGTGCTTATAACATATAGCGCTTTTAACATATAGTGCTTATAACATATAGCGCTTTTAACATATAGTGCTTATAACATATAGCGCTTTTAACATATAGTGCTTATAACATATAGCGCTTTTAACATATAGTGCTTATAACATATAGCGCTTTTAACATATAGTGCTTATAACATATAGCGCTTTTAACATATAGTGCTTATAACATATAGCGCTTTTAACATATAGTGCTTATAACATATAGCGCTTTTAACATATAGTGCTTATAACATATAGCGCTTTTAACATATAGTGCTTATAACATATAGCGCTTTTAACATATAGTGCTTATAACATATAGCGCTTTTAACATATAGTGCTTATAACATATAGCGCTTTTAACATATAGTGCTTATAACATATAGCGCTTTTAACATATAGTGCTTATAACATATAGCGCTTTTAACATATAGTGCTTATAACATATAGCGCTTTTAACATATAGTGCTTATAACATATAGCGCTTTTAACATATAGTGCTTATAACATATAGCGCTTTTAACATATAGTGCTTATAACATATAGCGCTTTTAACATATAGTGCTTTTAACATACAGCGCTTTTAACATACAGCTCTTTTAACATATAGCGCTTTTAACATACAGATTGAGTCAAATGTGACCCTGGAGCATAAAACCAGTCATAAGGGTCAATTTTGTGAAATTGAGATTTATACATCATCTGAAATCTGAATAAATAATCTTTCCATT